GCAAGCCCTGGGACAGCCCCCAGCCACCTCCCTGCTGGCCCTTCGCAACAGCTGCCCCTCATCACGCTTTGGACAAGGCAAGACGTGACAGACGCCGATCTCATGACTGACTGGCCAGGTCAGGCCAGGAGACCCCCGGCTCTCGAAGAATGACCTCTTCTCTCTCGGCCAGCAGACACATGCTTTCCGGCAAACATTGGTGCAACACAGAAGCTCCTTTAAGCTCCATGAGGGTGTTGACTGCTGAAAGCTGCAGTGTTCATTGCTCTGTTCCTATCTAATCTGAAGGATGTGGCTGTGCAGAGCTCATAATGTTTAAGATGCCCAACTCCATCCTACGGGCTATTTTCTTTAACATGTTTTTTTATTTTAAAAATTGTTGGTATTGTTATTATTTATTCAGTTGTATTTTTTAACATAAGGGTTAATTGAAACCCCTTGACTTAAAAAAAAAACTAATAGGATATATGCTAATCTTCCAGCTCCTGCTTATTATTATTTCTCCTTTTATTTAGAATCACTAACACCTAATCAAAGGACAAGGCATTAAAAAGATCTAGAGGAGCTCAAATGCATGAGTATCTCACAGATTGGAACAATGGACTAACGAAGCAGACAAGAAGAACTTCACTGGAAAAAAACGGATTCTGACGAGCTCAGGTTTCCTTGGTTAAACACAACATGAAGACAGCAGTGGGTGGCCATCACTGTGGAAAGGTGGAGTTTCTGTGCAGTGGACTCAGGTCATGTTAATCTGTAGGAACCACAGAATTGAAAATGTTTGTTTTCTCTTATTTTCCTACAGATCTGATTACTTTGGTTTAAGAGTAACTCATAGCTGCTCTAAATCCAAGATGAGAAATTAACAGAATGAAAAGTACTCCACATGACACTACAGGGCCACTGACTAGCCGAAGATGACCTGAACCCCAGGCAAAAGAAGAATCCTAGAGTAAATCCTAGAGTATCCAGAGTAAGGGTAGCACACAGGTCTAGAACAGAAGGAAAGTTACAAAAGAGAAGAGGCCATTTGGCACATATAGCTGATTTGATTGCAAAAAGCTAAGTGACCCAAGGATCTCATCCAGCTGTTTCCTGAAGGGAGCCAGGTTACTGGATTTAACGCAATTGATGGGTAGCCTGTTCCAGACTCCAACAGCCCTTTGTGTAAAGAAGTGGCTCCTGTTTTCAGTCTTAAATGTACTTCTGTTTACTCTCCACTCATCCGCTGACCACATGACGTTCCTCTAACACAGTTTCACTAAAGAGTCAGAAAGCGAAGCAGCAGCCAGCTCTTCCGGAAGAAAGAAGAAAACGCCTCTTGCCTGCAGAGCGGGAACAGAAAGTGGGCGTGGCAGAAGGATGCAGCAGGTTGTGATGGAAGTGGAAAGTTAGCTGCGCTGGGCAAGATGGCAGCTGCCACAACAGCACCACTGTGTTGGCAAGCAGGTGGTGATCAGAGACAGCAAAGGAGCAACACTGCACTCCTCTTCCCCCTTCCCAGCACAAGCAGGGCAGCGATACCACTTAAAATCAAATATTGTCAGCTCAGAACTGGGATGGGAAAATCGTAGAAGACACAGGGGGTGCACAGCTCTAGTACTGGAGGGTCACAATCCGGCACGTCTCAGAGGTCACTTTTTATCTCCAGTACCTAAGGACTCATGGAAAGGTGTTGAATTGGTCCAGTTAAGACAATAATTAGATCAATTCGGTCAATAAAAGCTTGTGTAGAAGGAAAGCCTGCAGGCACTACAAGACTCCCTACAAGACTGGAGGTGCTCACCTCTGTTTGAAGAGGTGAACAGGAAATGATGTTGAACAATTTCCCAGAGAAAGCAGGGCCCGGTATGGCGACAGGAGACGCGGTGCTACAGGAGGTGCCATCTTTCAGAAGTGACACGGTAAATTAAGATCCTGACTGCAGGGTGGATTTTCTCAATGTCATAGCACTCTTTCCAAGAGCAGGATCATCCACTCCCAGCTCACAGAAGAATCCAAGAACGGGCTATCCGATCTGGCCTGCGTACTGTCCCCTCGGCTTAATTAGAGCAGGCAAAGCTGTTCCTGTGGGCAGAATTCCAGCCCGGAGGTGGCAGCCCTTCTGTGTGCCCCTGCAGGTGTATGTGTGGCCTTGCTGGGAGTTCCTGAGCGATGCAATGCTAGTTGCGATGAAAATCGCTACACAGGTGCAGTCACTGCCTGGGGTCCAGAGCCAGTGTCAAGCTCTGGTGGGAGTGACTGTGTGTGGAAAGGCTGTCTGTACAGTATGAGTAAAAGGGTGGGAAAAGAGCTATCGAGATAATTCCACAGCACGAGAATCAGTAACATTACATGAACTGT